AAAAAAAAAAAAAAAGGTCCAAAAGGATCTTTAAGGGAAGATTAAATGGAACAAAATTGGAGGCTGTAAAATGGCAGAGTGCATGAGAATTCCTTATACACAGAAGTACCATCATATTTTAAGACCCATTATTAGGAAAACCCCAAAACAACAAATGACTTTCAGCTTTCAACTCACAAATTTCCAGAAAAAACAGAGAACTACTTGTGGGTTTTTTTCCGTTTATTATCTTTTGAATTGATTTTTTTCTGTTTAACTCTCCTCCTTCATAACTCAGTATACAAAGACTAAATGTGAAAAGTCACCACTCCTGCAATATCTTGTAGCAAAACCCTCTTATCTTAAAGAAGGTAATATACAGTCTGTGGTTCAGAAAGGAAATTCAAGTCCAGAGATTCTGTAGGGAAAAAGTAGGGCCAGACAAGAGCATTTTCGCAGTGAACAGCTATATTTGGCACCCAAAGATCCAAACCAGGTTAAGGAAGAATGGAATGGATTTCCAAGAGAAGTAGGCAGGGAGCAAGATCTGAGGTATCATTGTAGGAAGGAATCTCTCCACACTTGGTCCAATGAGGTGCACCCTGTGTGTGGTTTTTTTTGCCAGGGGAGGGGACCTGGAAGGGGGGATGGGCAGCACCCAGAGAACAGTATTTAAGTACTGGTTACAGCATAAGCAAGTTGTGTGGTGTTCAGTGGAATGCCCATAGTTATCGCAGTAATCAGCTAAATATGTAAAACTTGAAAGAATGGAATAATTAAACTCTTCTTAGATAAAGAACACCAATTCATCATTCAGAGATGTAGTACAATGGTACATTTTATAGACTTCCAGGAAAGGACATGATATGGGCACAAGGACCCACCCTACCCCAGGTGTCACTGGCTCCTGCCCCAACTCCGACCTCTTATCTCAAGAAATAGACTTAAGTATAAAAGTAGGAGAAATTACTTGTTAACAACTGGACTCCAGAGAAGAATAGTGTCTACACCATTTTGAAAGAGAGAGCATGTATGCAAACAGGGGAGGGGCAGAGAGAGAGGGAGAGAGAGAGAATCCCAAGCAGGCTCTGTGCTGCCATTGCAGAGCCCGACTCAGGGCCGAAACCCACGAACCGTGAAATCATGACCTGAGCCAAAAACTGAGTCGGATGCTTAACCGACTGAGCCACCCAGGTGCCCCACAGGCCACACATTTTTAAACAATTCTGCTGCAAAAGTTTTCAGATATATCAACCGAAATTTAAAACCTGTTTGTCGGGGTGCCTGGGTGGCTTGGTCGGTTAAGCGTCTGACTTCAGCTCAGGTCATGATCTCACAGTCGGTGAGTTCGAGCCCCGAGTCGGGCTCTGTGCTGACAGCTCAGAGCCTGGAGCCTGTTTCAGCTTCTGTGTCTCCCTCTCTCTCTGCGCCTCCCCTGTTCATGCTCTGTCTCTCTCTCTCTCAAAAATAAATAAATGTTAAAAAAAAAAAATTAAAAAACCTGTTTGTCGATCCCATTTTTTTTCTTTCTCCTTCCAACTTTATTGAGATATAATTGACATATACCGTCAAGTAAATCTGGATAAGATGTTTTATCTCCACACAGAAATGGACAACAAAATGTATTAACAGTTTACATGGTGAACCTAGGGTGCCCATGGACAGACATACTCGTTATAGTCCAGCCACTCGTTCTGTTTCTGCTACTGGAGAATGACCTCACTCAAACAAATGTGAGGCACTCCTTAGAAAAAAAAATGCAAATAAGATGAAATGGGGCTTTGCTTTAAATATACCTTGATGGTTTATGATTGTGAACCTAACAAGAAGCCAGCCTAGGCTTCTTCATTGCCCATCTCTGTCAGATAACAAGAATCTTTTATCATAAAGGTGATGTCACTGGGGTGGGGGGCAAAGCAGACCTGGAAGGGCCGGGACTGGGAAAAGGGCTGGGGAAGGAACGGCAGATTGAAGACCACGGGCAGGGGGTCAGCGTGTACACAAAGCAGCCAGGAGTTCTGGTAAGCCCTGTGGGTGAAGCCAAAGCCAGAATGCAAAAGCTGTCGGGGAACCTTGAAGGACACTGAGTGTTTCAGTAAGGACAGACCAAGACCAATTGGGGGGATGGACAGGTCAGAGTGAAGCGGAAGGCACAGGCTTGGGCAAGTCTTGCAATTTGCAGAGTGGGGGATCATTCCAGAGGTCAGGCGAGAACAGAGTGTGAGCTGAGGAAATGAATGGGATATAGACTGAGGGACTGCCCACTCCTGTGATTCTGCACACAGAATATAATCACTGACCCTGTTTCCTTGAGTTATACCTTCTGCTCCTGCTCTGATATACATATATATATATATATATATTTTTTTTTTTTTTTTTTTTTTTTTTTTTTTTTTTTTTTTTTTTTTTTTTTTTTCTAGTATAGGTAGGTGCTATGGTTTATCAGGACTCTTCAGGGCCTGATAGTCTCAAAGGCCTTCGTTTTCTGCAGAGATCTTACTTTATCTGTTCTGTGTGTCTCATTAACTGTGTGGCAGCCGCCTCTTTTCAGAAGCTCAGTCTAACTTCTGGGCTGTCAAGTACATGAATTAGTGATCCCTAGATCACTGTAATTTCAAATAAGTGTTGACGTGAGTAGAGACCTAGCAGGCAAATTGGAAGCGTGTATCACATGGGCGCTCAAGTCCTTTGGAGGATTCAGTGAGACGCCATGTACAGAAAGTGTAGCAGGTGAGGCCCGACTGAGAAATAGAAACCACACAGTAGGTTAAACAGAGATTTTAATATCAACATGTTAACGCTAATAAAGGAATAGCTGTAAGATATAAGGGGACGCTCCCTGGCATGCTAGGACTGAGGGATGGCTTCCCTAAGGAAGGACAGACTCGGAAGGGGTTCAGTTCTCACCGGGGAAGGTGTGGATGGGCCACTGGGCAGCAGAGAAGCTGGGTGGTTTCGCCAGGGGAGGTGGTATGAAGCTGCTGGGCAAACAACAAGTCACCATCAGGAGGGCAGGCAGGGAACAGGCATCAGCAGTGGGTGGCGCACGGCATGCAGTGCGAGCTGGGCTCAGGCCGGGGCACAGGGAGGTCAGAGGAGCAAGCTGTGTGGACAGGGGTCCAGGAGAGGGATTACAGACAGAGGGCTGCTCACACGGACCCGTGACCACAGCCATGCCGCAGGAGGGCCATGCCAGATTGTCTTCAGCCAGCGGTGTAAGATGACAGAGGAACCGCTTCCATGCCCTTTGGCCCCGACAGGACCCACAGGAAGTCCTCCCAGTCACATGACAGACTCTTGCCCCTCCCACCGGAAGTTGCTGGAAGCTCCTACCTCCCGCAGGGTCCCTTCAGCGCCCTCTACTGAGAAACCTGTGACATGGTGCTCTCTTGAAAGGAGAAAGAAATTTTGCTGAAGGAATTCCATTGTTTGTCACAGAGCCCGTATAGAAAGGTGCCCTCGGAGCGGGGAGGGAATAAACTGGTAACTGACACAGAGTGTTGAGCGAAGAGACTGGCACAGAGTGGGTGTTCAGTGATTGAAAGCTGTGTTAGACAATTATCCAGTGTCACCGAATACATTTAAATTATTTGGAATACATTTAAAAGTTAGCTTTTAGCCCTGTTGATATTCATGGCTGTGTAACTCATTGCTATGTGTTATTTAAGTAGACACGAAGTTAAGAATCTGTGTCAAGTATTTCTCATTTCTAATTTGTTTCTTTTCTTTAATTTTCTTTTTGCCTAGGTCTTATACAATATATTAATTGCCTTCACAAAGATGCATAAATTTGAAGACATTGAGCCTGTCGACATTTTGGCTGGATGTGCCCGATTCGTTATTGTGGGGGTTGGGGGAGTCCTTTTTGGCGTCATTTTTGGGTTCATTTCTGCGTTTATCACACGTTTCACTCAGAATATCTCTGCAATCGAACCACTCATCGTCTTCATGTTCAGCTACCTGTCTTACTTAGCCGCCGAGACACTCTACCTCTCTGGCATCCTGGCGTGAGTATAAACCAAGGACCAACTCTCACAGCAATAAAAGAGAATTTAGGACCACATTGTGTGCACTTGCATCTGAAAAGGCAGGGCTTTGGGCACCAATCCTTAAAGGTATTGCTGGATTCAGGCTTTTTTAGCTTTTGTACAATCGGATTCAGGTCCTTTGCCAAACAAATATATTCTCTGAGCATTTGTACTTGCTCTTTTCCTGAATTACCTTAGCATAGCAGAGCATGGCAATTATAAGGTCAATTTCAAAGGCTCAGAAGAGCTGATCCAGGGAAGAACTAGAAGTTCAAGGTTAAAGTCTTATTTCAATAGTTCTTTTTTTTTTTTCCTTGAAAAATGCATTATTTTAAAGGGTAGAGGGAAGCATGCCATGAAGGACTGTCATTCCTGAGCTCTGCCTTCTGCTATTTCCCTTAAATCACACCACAGCTCCAGGACTTATCAGTGTGGAATGAAACTAGGTAGATGGGATAAGACCAGAAGTCCAGATTTCTTTTTCCTAATGAAAATATTTGTAAATGTTTATCCTTCTGTAGATCTCGGAATGAGGCTTCTTAACTTGGCTCGCCACATCTGGTCATGTTGTTTTCTCTATGGCATTATCCTCATACCCAGCTACTCAGGCAGAAATATTTAATTTTAGTGTATAGAAATATCTATTTCAATTAAATATAATAGTGTAAAATCTAGATTCACTATTGTCCCACCTACTACTTAGACAAGGCAAAGTTGTATCTCCTCTCCCGCCCCCAACTGCCGCCCACCCCGGACTTCTTAGTGGCTCTAGAACAAAAACATTTTATTTTATTTTTTATTTTTTTTTAATTTTTTTTTAACGTTTATTTATTTTTGAGACAGAGAGAGACAGAGCATGAATGGGGGAGGGTCAGAGAGAGGGAGACACAGAATCTGAAACAGGCTCCAGGCTCTGAGCGGTCAGCACAGAGCCCGACGCGGGGCTCGAACTCACGGAGTGTGAGATCGTGACCTGAGCCGAAGTCGGCCGCTTAACCGACTGAGCCACCCAGGCGCCCCAACAAAAACATTTTAAATGAAAAATTTCTCATTAAATTCTTGTAAGAAACGTTGCTCAGGTGGAGGAAACGACAGCCTCGCTGGATCATTTCTTATACCAGAAACAGTTCTGCTTCGGGTTGGTGCATGGTTGATGCCGTGCTCTTGTGAGGAAGTCGTGCCACGCCCATCTTCCCCAACACCCTCCACTGGCGCAAGCCCCTTGGGGAGGGAGAAGAGTAAGAAAGAAAACCCCATGGGGAAATGCACCCAGAAAGGGGAATGGAGAAGATGCTTTCTCTGGGTAAAAACGGGAAGAGTGTATCTGTGGCATTACCAGTAGGGAGTTATTCGTGGAGGGGCAAAATCTTGTGGCTGCTCCTAAGACTCTGCTCCTTCTGCAGGATCACGGCCTGCGCGGTAACAATGAAGAAGTATGTAGAGGAAAACGTGTCTCAGACGTCCTACACGACCATCAAGTATTTCATGAAGATGCTGAGCAGCGTCAGCGAGACCCTGATCTTCATCTTCATGGGCGTATCCACCGTTGGAAAGAACCACGAGTGGAACTGGGCCTTCATCTGTTTCACCCTGGTCTTCTGCCAGATCTGGAGAGCCATTAGTAAGAGGCAGTAGGGCCCCCAAGGGGCTCCTGCCTGCTGCTTTTTGTTTATTTCTCTTCTTGCTTTATGCAGTGTGATGGCCTAAGGAGTGAGGTGAAGCGAACTGGTTTTACTGGTTAAGGGAGTATAGGCACCTTGTAGGGACCTGGAATGGTGTCTGTTTGCTCCCCCAATCAGTTTAGAGCAATTAGTGGCTGATAAGGTTGTGCACTGCAGCAAGGCTGGAGCAAGGAATTTGTTTTTCTTGCTTATTTGAGGAGAGAACTTTCGCATCTACACGTTTAAATATAACTCAATGAATTTCTCCCTTGCTCTTCACTGCTTTGTCAATTTTCCCCTCTTGCACCTTCAATCAGATATAGATTATAAACTGTGAGCATTTACACTTTTATTACAGGAAAAGTGAGATCTCACTAAGTGTATTTTATGGAAGGCAGGTACTGTTAGGAAACCTTCCCCTAAATAATACAGGTGGTTTTGGTTGAAGGTTGTGTTTGATGTAGAAAAACGCAAGGATCAGAAACTAAATCTTTATTTTTAAAAGTGTTTACTTTAACTAATGAAGGCAACTCTGTCGTGTAACTGGCATCACCCCTATGAAATATGCCTAATTTTAAAAAATCTTTTTTTAAGTTTATTTATTTATTTTGAGAGAGAAAGAAAGCATGAGTGGGGAGAGGCAGAGAAAAAGGGGGAGGGAGAGAATCCCAAGCAGTCTCTGTGCTGTCAGTGTGGAGCCTGATGTGGGGCTCGAACTCACCACCCATGAGATAATGACCTGAGCCAAAATGAGATGCTTAACCAACTGAGCCACCCAGGTGCCCCCCAAAATGAGACCTCTTGACCAAAGGCTACTTATTTACTTTGAACATTCATGTTTCTGGGGCTAGCAAGAACATTAAGTTCGGGACCACATTATATGTGCTGCCTTTTGATTAGAAGCAGTTTGATTTTTTTTTTTTAATTTTTTTTTCAACATTTATTTATTTTTTTTGGGGACAGAGAGAGACAGAGCATGAACGGGGGAGGGGCAGAGAGAGAGGGAGACACAGAATCGGAAACAGGCTCCAGGCTCCGAGCCATCAGCCCAGAGCCTGACGCGGGGCTCGAACTCACGGACCACGAGATCGTGACCTGGCTGAAGTCGGACGCTTAACCGACTGAGCCACCCAGGCGCCCCGAAGCAGTTTGATTTTAAAATGATTTTGACCAGGATTTGAAGCATTTTCTTAATTGACTTTGACTAACATTTTCAAACCAATTATAATGAAAGATAAATTATGGGAAATGACTGAGGACTTACCTTGAACATATCAATTTTAAATTAATCCCAAGTGGGTTTTAGAATCTAGGAAAGAATAACAAGAATGCAGAAATATTAAAATAGTCATAAAACTTACTCTGAATATATATGCCTGTTAGAGTGCCAGGGGAGAAAGAATTAAGAAAACTATGTTATGTAATTAGGTAAACTTATAATTTCAAATCAAATCATGGCACTGTTACTAACTAGCTATTTGACCTTGGATGGACATTTAACTGCTCCAAATCTTCTTCCTCAGCCACAAAATGGTAGGCATGAACAAATTTCTTGAGTTCCCTTCAGTTCTAATACTCTAATACTCTCTAATGTCAAGAGAAGTAACACCACCAAGCTTCAGCCCAGCCTACGGGAATATAAACCATCTGAGAGAGTGTTAATATTATGGATACCTCAATATTGTTGGCCTTTGGTGACAATCCAACCCAATTCCTTCATGCTCTAGCTGGTGGAAGAGTCATCGAGAGAATGGCTGACTTGGCCATGACACAGTGAGGGACAAAGCCAGCTGTCAGAACCTAATTCCCCCTCCCAGCATCCCAGCCTGACTCCTTGTGGCTAATAGTAGTTCACACTCAGGAAGGCTTATAACATTGTAAGTCCCTGTTTTCTATGGTTTACAGATAGTAAATTTATCTAAACCTTCCATCTATCTTCTGAGAGGAATACTACCATTACCTCCGTTGAGCAGATAAAGAGACTCAGCACATCAAAAGATAAGAACCTTAGCCAAGGTCACATGACTAGTAAGTCTGTGGAGAAGCCCGGACAAACAAAACACAGTGAAAGATGTTAAATTCTACTGTCTCTCACACTGTCCATGTGCTGGGTATCACAGGTTGCTTGCTGTGGGGCACCTGGGTGGCTCAGTCACTTAAGCGTCTGACTCTTGATTTCGGCTCTGGTCATGATCTCAGGGTTCGTGAGATTGAGCCCCTGTTGGGCTCCATGCTGACAGCAAGGAGGCTGCTTGGGATTCTCTCTCTCCCCTTCGCCCCTGCCCACCCCCCCCCCCCAGCCCTTCCCCTGCTCATTCTCTCTCTCAAATAATAAATGAATTTTTTTAAAAAATTCAAAAAGTTTTGCTTGCTGTGAGGCATGTGTGATTAGAAGTCATGGGAGGATACCGAGAGCTTTGTTCCACAGTAAAACCTCCTCTTTAGCCAGAGCTTTAGTGAAGGGACCTTTCCCACCAGGAAGCGCTGTGTTGGTGGTAAGCTAGGACATGTGGCCACAAGGGGATGGAAAGTCAGTGTGGTAGAAAACACCTCTGTGTTTTAAACAAGCTCTGCCATCCTCCACCTTCCACTTAATGACAGTAAGAACCCCCCTTTGAGCCCTTGCCAACTTTCTTGTTTGCACTGAACCTCAGGAAGAACCAAACCAACCACAAAAGTTTTGCTTACCCGGAAGAGACCACAATCACTAAGAGAGTCTTCTTATGTTTAAAATTATACACCTCCTTTGGTTACTCATTGAGAACGCGAGATGATAAAAATGTTTCTGTCCCCAAAGCAATACCCTTGCTTTACCTAGTTTTGAAAGGCAGAGCAAAATCTATGAGTATAGATTAGAAAATATATGATATTTCTTATATGAGAAAGTATCAAGATTTTATTTCGTTAAACACACACACACACACACACACACACACACACACAAGGTAGGAAAGTAACAATCTGAAGCACTATTGTTCACAACTACTCAAAAAGTGAAAACTTTTGTAAGATATTCTATTTGGGATGGACAGTCATGGGTATGATGGAATTAGGTTGCCTTGTTTTGTGGGCGCACGCACAAGACTTGGGTTCCCTAGTACTGAATATCTACGTATTCATAACCTTCTGCTCTAATATATATTTCTCCCTTTCTAGGCGTATTTGCTCTCTTCTATGTCAGTAACCAGTTTCGGACTTTCCCCTTCTCCATCAAGGACCAGTGCATAATTTTCTACAGTGGTGTCCGAGGAGCTGGAAGTTTTTCACTTGCATTTTTGCTGCCTCTGTCTCTTTTTCCTAGGAAGAAAATGTTTGTCACTGCTACTCTTGTAGTTATATATTTTACTGTATTTATTCAGGTTGGTAGACTTCTTTCATATTTGAAATAAGTAGATTCTTTCAGGATTATGCATTAAATTAGTATAGTAATAGTATAGTGTCCCAAAAAAGGGACACTCTAATTTTCAACGTGTGCTCAATTACTCCAGCTAAATTCTTAAATATTTCTAGATCATGTTTGTTCATCTTTTAACCTCTAAAATATGTTTCTTTTTAATCAATAAAACATATTAATCAAAGTATTCCTGGGTAACGGGCAAATGATAGTTATTCTACTGTATTTTGCTGAAAACAAGATTCCAATTAGTACTAGATAGTACAAGTTTTGGTTTTAGGTGGAGATATCTCTGAGTAAACTAGCAAGAGGTTATTTTAAGGGATGGCACTAAATTCCTGTTTTAAAGCAATGCCCATTTTCATTGTTTTTTTTCATTGCTTCACTGAAAAAATTAAATCAGAACTAATTAAATAAGAATTAAAGTAAACAGTAGAGCATTTATCTAGTAGCAGGTAGTACAAAACAAAGATATGAACATTAGAAGCTCTAATAGTTTTGCTAATAGATTTGCTCTCTTTAATGAGAATCTTCACTACAATAATATTGTTTATTTTGCCATTTGTGATCTAGGGAATTACAATTGGCCCACTGGTCAGGTACCTGGATGTTAAAAAGACCAATAAAAAAGAATCCATCAACGAAGAGCTTCATATTCGCGTAAGTTTTCTATCATAATTAGCAACTTAATAGGATGTTTTCCTTTGCCACTGGTAGGAGTAATCTAGAGCTTTGGTGCAGTGTTGCGTCCATGTCGCTGAACATAGCCTCTTTCCTTGCTTGTGCTAGTTTCTGATTGCTGCTGTAGGAAATTACCATAAATTTAGTGGCTTAAAAAAAAACCCACAAAGTTATTATCTTATAGTTCTGGAGATCACAAATTCAAAATGGTCTCAGTAGGCTAAAATCAAGATGTTGCAGGGCTGCATGTCTTTCTGGAGGTCCTAGGCAAGAATCTGTTTTCTTGCATCTTCCAGCTTCTAGAGGCTTCTAGAATTCCTTGGTTCATGGACTCCTTCCATCTTCAAAGCTAGCAATGGCCGGTCAGGTCTTTTCTCATGCTGCATCACTCTGATACTGACTTTTCTGCCTTCCATGCCCACATTAAAGACCTTTATGATTATATTAGGCCCATGTGGATAATTTAGGATATTCTTTCTGTCTTAAGGTTAGCAACCCTTAATCCACCTACTATCTTAATTTTTCTTTGCATATAAACTAACATATTCACAGGTTCTGGGGAATAGAACATGGACATCTTTGGGAACCATTATTCTGCCTATCACATCTGCTGCCCCTCAAAGATTCACATCTATTCCACATGCAAAATACATGAACTCTATCCTGACATCCCCAAAGTCTCAACCCATTATAGTGTCAACTCAAAGGCCACAATCTCATCTAAATTTTATCAGTTCAAAAGCCCCAAATCTCAGCATCCCAGTCATCTAAATGAGGGAAGAGGAGTGATCCTCTGGGTATAATCCATCCAGAAGCACAGCTCCTCTTTAATGCCAAACCTGTGGAACTCGAGAAATAAGTTGTCTGCTCCTAAAATACACTGGTTGAGCACTCACAGAGTAATGGTTATAGATATTCCTTTTCAAAAAAAGGGGGAAATTAAAGGGAAAAAGGATTCATATCCAAATTTCTAAGTCCACTTGGTTTCAAGGGCTAGGAATAACCTCTGTTCCACCAGATTAGAAGTCCAATCTGGGTTCCACTCTTTGGGTTCTCAGCTTCCACCCTATAGCCTATAGCCTATGTTTTCAGCTCATTCCTTTGATCAGCTTGTTTCTTGCCTGCAGAATGTTGGGGTCCAACCATCCCCTTTCATTTTGTCTTTTCTCTGTCCCTTTTCATCCAAGTTAGCAGTGTTTCTGTCTGGTTTCAACAGGGAAGCAGAACAAGTAGGAGATAGATATAGATATAGATATAGATATAGATATACATATACATATACATATACATATACATATACATATACATATACATATACATATACACATACATACAGATGTAGATGTAGATAGATTATATAGATATAGATATCAATATACATACACATATACATAGATATAGATATAGATATAGATATAGATATAGATATAGATATAGATATAGATATAGATATAGATGTTAAGAGCTTTGTTGTAAGGAATTGGCTCACTAGGCAAGTCCAGAATCTGTAGGACAAGCCTTCAAGGAGGGTAGACCAGAACCTTCAGGCATGAGCCACAACTGCTATGCAGTTGTGAATGTTCTTTATCGGAGAAGCTTCAGCTCTACTCTTCAGGCCTTATAACTGAGCAAATTAGACCCACCAAGATCATCTAGGATAGTTTTCCTCACTTTTAGATAACTGATTATGGACTTTAATCATATCTACTAAATATTGTTACACCAACATCTAGATTACTGTTAATAATACTTGGGGACAAGCCTTGCCAAAGTGACACCTCAAAAAACTATCATGGTGACTAATATTATGAATTGTCCTATGTACTTCTGAAATAATTGTTCCAATGGAATATGGGATCCTCTGCTCTTTCGGAATTTTTAATTACGAAAGGGTAAAGGCTTCTACTACTTCTGCAGGAACAGCCTAGTGGCAGTTTTCAGTGAAAACATTCAACCCTGACAAAGATGAAAATGAAGTTGGGCACAGCTTCTACCTGTTGGTTTAAGTTCAACACAATGTTGGAGGGCTGCCATTTTGTATGGCTCCAGGGAATAAAAATGAGAGGGAATACATGGAAGACAGAAGGAAAGAGACTTCAGCTCAGTTAATGAAGAGCATCCTAGAAATAGCTATGGCGTACCCAAAGGTGAAATGGATGTGTACAAACAATGACTGGGAACGCTTGGCATAGCTGCTGAACAGGAGATTCAGGCTTTTAGGGGATTATTGACCCAGATAATCTTTAGGTTTCTTTTATCCCTGAAAGTTCATGGTTCTAATGCTGGAGAAACTGATGAAGCCTTTCAAAATCAGCCCTGAATTTTATGGCCAAAGTCATCCAAATCTAAACCCAAAATTTTCAAGACCATTTGAAAATACTCGACAGAAGGGATAGGGAGTGAGTGTTTTAAAATAAGAAATGATTTAACTTGATTGAAGATTTTTGTTTCTGTCTTTATCCCTTCTGTTCGTTATTTTTAGAAATTAAATAGTATACCTAAGACAATAGAACATAGATATTCCCTCTTTTCTTATTTTTTCTCAAATAAAGTTACAATTATTGGTTGAGAGTACATCAATTAAGTATTTCAGAATTAATTCAGTATTTTGATGCACTTTGCAAAACAAATTTTAGAAGTCAGCATAAATTTCATTGATTGCAAATTTAAATTATAAAGACTGATTCATAAGTTTTGAAGAGATTATCTTTTTTTTATGAAATTCCTATAAGCAATTTGGGTAAAGCAAATTTAGTACAATTGGCTTGCATGGTGAAATATAAATACTGAGGCAAAATAATCAGGTAAAAATGAGGCAGATAGATAAATTTTGTTGTTATATATTATTATTATTTTTTTTATTATTATAAGATATCTGTAGAATTATATCTTCAGAAACTATAAATTGGATACTGACAATGTTTGTGGTGAAATTAAAAGGAACAATTAGTTATGACATTCATGTGATTTCAGTAATGAGACATTTTCTAAATCATTCTAGAAAAATATTATTCAAAGCAAATGGCAGGTATCCTGTTTTCATTGAAAGTTAGGCACATTATTAAGGAGCTTATCGACGGGATCTGTGAATCCTGAAACTCAGTTGAATTACGATGGAAGGCACTATAAGTTTCAGTTACATGAATGGGGTGATAGAAAAGAGGCTACACTCCAGGAAATTAAAGCCTCCTTTGTTTTCTGAAGTGTGTTAGCTTTCCTTGTGTGTCTTTTAGGGTTAACGTTTCACTAGCAATCATTTTCCTGTATTTGGCTTGGCAGCTGATGGATCACCTGAAAGCTGGAATTGAAGATGTGTGTGGGCACTGGAGCCACTACCAAGTGAGAGACAAGTAAGGAGGCTGACAGTTTCGCTGACTTAGGAAGGATTATTTGTGGCCTGGGGAACCTCAAAACGTTACAGTGAAAACTGAGCAGTTGACTAGAAAGAATCCAGAGGAATGGGACCAAGAATATGAAGGGCCTGGGAGCCATGGCACAGAAGGGGCAGGTGGGAGCACTGGGAATGCCCAGCCTGTAAAAAGGAGAGCGCTCAGGGGGAAGGGGCTGCTGACTTAGCCGAGGCTGTGTCAGAACTAGACTAGAGAACAACTTTCAGATTGAAAGGAGACAAGTCGAATCTAAGTTTAAAACAAGAAGTTCCCCAGTGAGAAGAGAAGCTCAACCATGACTTCATAAGGCTATAAAGGGAGTTTGGTGAATCGTCAGGGTCCTGGGAAGGAGAGTCCTCCCCTGGGGAGGGAGGTGGTGGAGGAAGACCTTCAAGGGTCCTTTCCACATATGATTCCGTAAGAATGTTAAATGTCCCTCTCCTCTGCCACCATCTCACATTTCAGAACACATTCTCTCCCTGGATTTAGTCTACAGCATATTTCTTCTGTGGCCCCGAGGAGAATTTCACTCAGGATAAGGAAAATAAGAGTTTGTAAGTTAAACATAGCTATTTAGCAAACGTAGGAGTTAGCAGTAGTTGAATTAACCGAATGGTAGATGTCTTCTTTCTAGGGATTGCCAACATATTAATGTTGGTGATTCCAAGAGAAACTAGACCTTGAAAGTTCTGGCTGTCAAGGAGTAGTGGCACCTACATGAGAAACTGGGAGCTTATGGGTGGGCTTTTTACATTTTATTTTATTATTTATTTATTTATTTATTTATTTAGTGTGTGTGTGTGTGTGTGTGTGTGTGTGTGTGTGTGGTTAATCTACTTTTTAATTTTAATTCCAGTTAGCATACAGTGTTATTATTAGTTTCAGGTGCACAATATAGTGATTTCCACACTTCCATACAGTAATACCCTGTGCTCATCACAAGTGTACTCTTTAATGACCATCACCAATTTCGCCCATCCCCCCCCCCACCCCTCTGGTAACCATCTGTTAGTTCTCTATAGTTAAGAGTCTCTTGGTTTGTCTCTCTTTCTCTTTTTTTTCCTTTGCTCATTTGTTTTGTTTCTTAAATTCCACATATGAGGGAAATCATAGGATATTTGTTTTTCTCTTTTTTATTTCGCTTAGCATTATACTCTCTAGCTCCATCGATGTTGTTTCAAATGGAAAGATTTCTTTCTTTTTTATGGCGGATGAATATTCCATTATGTATACACGTATATATGCCACATCTTCTTTATCCATTCATCATTCGATAGACAGTGGGGCTGCTTCTATAGTTTGACTATTGCAAATAATGCTGCTATAAACCGGGGTGCATGTATCCCTTTGAATTAGTGTTTTTGTGTTTTGGGGGTAAGTTAGTGCAATTCTGCGATCAGAGCATAGTTCTATTTTTAACTTTTAAAGGAACCTCCATGCTGTTTTCCACAGTGGCTGCACCAGTTTGCATTCTGAGTGGGCTTTCTTTATGAGATAAAAACTATAGTTTTAGCAGTCCTCCTAGTGTTAAAATAGAACTTAAGTCATGGGAATGTTCACCAATCTAGAACCTAGGTCATGGATTTTTTAAGTTTAAATCCTATAGTTCTTCCAGTGAAAAATCATTTAATATTATTCTATTTAGCCAAATCGGTACCAAATTTTCTAGACCCCAAGGCAGATATTGAGAGCAGTAAGATGCACCCAATGCACTCAAGAGCCTCACAATTTGGTAGACAGGATCCTGGGGGAACAAAGAGAGAAAGAGCTCCAACAGATACTGATGATCTGTATAAGAAACACTATAACGGAGGTAAATGCACGGAACTGCTATAATACAGAAACAAGAGTGCATTTTGAAAATAAATGAGGTGTTCTACAGGCAAAGAAGAATGGAAAAAATGCCAAGCAATAGCAGTAACAGCAGAGTATTTCCAAATGTAAAGGCAACAAAGAGCATAGCATGGTTTGGACACAGTCCGAGAAAGGAACATGGTAAGACAAGAGCTTGGAAAGGCAGAGATACGCTTCTGTGGCACAATGCTAAGGAGTCCTAGAGAGCCATTAATCCTATAAAATTCTATTTGACCTTTAATAGTCAGATCAAAAGGCTTTTAAATATGAGAATAACATGACCATACTTGGCTTTGGGGAGGCAAACAACAACAGAGTTATGGAAGCTGGGTTTGAAACAGATACTGTGGGGAGGGAGACCTGTAAGGGATGTTCACATGGATGTAAGAGTTTCATCTTGCAAGCATAAAATAAGCCTCAGGTACTGTGCTATCTGTTTCATATATGGTATCTTACCTGACATCCTGAATCTCCTGCGTTAGCACTATTTTTCTCCTTGAAGATAAAGAAACCAACTCCAAGAGATCAACTAACCTATTCTACAGTGGAACCTTGATTGAATTCAGGTCTGGCTTTAGGACCTCTTCTGATTTCAATGAACCATAGAGCTTTCAGAATCATAAGGATGAGGAATTAGCAGAAAGAGCACTGAAATATTTCTGAGGTGGAAATGGTGACTGGCTATGGATATAACCAGGAGGGCTAGGAAAGAGGCAATAAGAATGACTTTCAGATTTCCAGATAGCGAGTCTAGGGGACTAACAATGCCATGGTTAAATGTATAGACTATAGAAGAATGTTTAATTAAATAATAGCTAGGTGAGGTAACGACATGGGTGTGAAGAGGGGAAGCTGAGGACAGGACTCTGAGAAGTTTCCATTCCTCTGGAGCAGGTAAGGAAGAGGAAGAGATTTGGAAGAAGTCTTTAGGGAGGCTGGAAGGGAAGCATGTGTGAATCAGGAAGTGGAAGGCACAGAGGAAATGACCCCGTGGCACATCAGGAGAAGCCATGGGGCAAGTAAGGCAAGGGCAACAGCACCAACCAGCATTGAACAGTAAACGTCAAGGTGAGCTCTGTGTGAAGAGTGTCAGAGAAGTCCTGATGGGTGGGGAGCAATGTCGGTAGATTGAGCAATAAATAGGAACAACAGCCTCTTGTGACGAAAGAGAGAAAACAAGAAGGCTGAGGGTTTGACCCATTTGGAGCAAGAGCAGGCACGAGCTAAACACAGATCATAAGGTATCACAGCCTGCTAACCCCGGAGGAGACTTGAGTGATAAAGCATCCATCCGCCTCACAGGCCAGGAAACCAATCACCAGATAATAAGCCAGCAGCTCAGGGAGTTATGTTCCCCTCCAGAAAATAAAGCAGGCAGACAAATTACTCTTTGAATGTAAAATGATTGGAAGTGTTGACAATGTCTACCCCAAACAAATGGCCAACTCTGAAGGCACCATATGCATACGTGCAGCTCAGTCTAATGGGCCAGCCAGAGGTTTGCTACAATAGTCGGCGGCCATCAGCGCCTAGCCTATTCAAGATTCTCCATCATTCAGACTGTCAGGATAGATGTGGGGTCTCCCCCCAGCCCCTCCTTAATTGTCAGGATTCAAAATGATCTGCAGCATAATGGGCAAAACTACTGTAACTACCAGGCCATTTAAATTTATTGGGTTCTGGTTGAATAGGCCAGTATTACTGTAAGAGCAGCTGCCACTGTTAGGAGGCTATTAGAATGAAACATTTGTTCAAAAGCCTCAACCCCTCATTTCTTCTTTTACAATTGGAGCTGGGCTGGGCTGGGCCTCCCCCGCTCCCCACTTATGCATACTTTTCTACCCTGATTGCAGCTTGTCCCCTCCTTTTGTTTAGTTGATTTTCAATGTATTCAGGCCAGTAGGCTATTCTTCCTTTACTTAAAAAAAAAAATATATATATATATGTACATATATATATATATATTCTATGATTTTTTTAATATGTCCAAAGACTGAATTCTCAGCCCTGTCCTCGTGTTCAGAATACAGTTAGTCTGTTTTAAGAAAAATATATACTTCCATAACACATACAGAGATCAAAGATTGTCAAACTGTTGGTCTTTGTTTTTAGGTTTAAGAAGTTTGATCACAGATATTTACGGAAAATCCTAATCCGAAAGAACCAGCCCAAATCAAGCATTGTCTCTTTGTACAAGAAGCTGGAAATGAAGCAAGCTATTGAGATGGTAGAAACTGGGATCCTCAGTACCACAGCCTTTTCCGTACCGTGCCAGTAAGTTCTCTATGCCCTTTGATCTGGACTTTACATGTCAGAATTCCAAGGGCACACATTCATTGTTCAGCTGAGAGATAATACTAGGATCAGAGAGGCAGAAATTGAAAGAAAGGAATTGTGAAAAAAGGATGACCTGAGTCTTGGCAGCTTGTAGTCTGGCCCACGCTCAACCTACGTCACCCAGTTTTTGAAAAGTACTTTCTAGCAAAAGTTGTGTGCGACAGTTGTATGACACCTTTCTTTGGGAAGGAGGGGCAAGTGAACTTACAGAATTATGGCATGGTTTACAAGACTCTTTCTTTCTCTTTTTGATTAATTGCTACCCTTTAGCTGCTGTTCTTTTGATTCTGCTAATCCTATAGTAAAAATTATATGCATTTCTCTCATAAGTCATTTCTCTTCCATCCTCGTATGAGGAGAGACCTGGTCAGCACCTTGTGACGCTAGCTGGGATTCGGGGATGAGCGGTGGAAACCGGAGGTGTGGTGGTTGGTGGGCTACTTAAATTTACCACCCTCCCCCACCCCGTCAAGGATCTCCAGGTTTCTTCCAAGAAGCAGTTTATGAATTGAGCAAACTACTCACAACATATTTAAGATAAGGAACACCTGCATTCTGTCATCTTCTGTAGGTAAAGTCACTTGATCGTGAGCTTCAACTGTATCTTCATGTTTGAAAAGCAGGTGAAGAACAGGTAGCAATAAAATTTTCACTCATGCCTGAGTGTTATCTCACATCCCTTACTTGCTAATGAATCAGAAACACCCTCACCTTTCTTCCATGGCCTGGAAAAAATCTAAAGTAGAGTCCTGGAAGGCATCTTGGTATGAACAGAAAGCTTTCTGCCTTATTTCTCAGTGAGACTCTTTTTGTGGTTGGTTGGTTGGTTTCGGTGCTGCCCACTGCGTGGCTTGCTTTAAGGAAACTTCTGATATTAAAACGGCAGTGGGCTAACAATATTTATCGGCAATGCCATGCGGAGCCATATTAGAGCCTAAGGCAGAGGAAAAAATCAGGAACATTGATTCTGTCTTTATTTAAAGTGCTGACATTTAATTCATCGTGACTTTTTTCCTCTTTGCATTGACCTTTGTTTTCTAAATGATTGCATTTCAATCCTACTTAACTTGACTGAACATTTTTGGCATCACCTTAGGCCCAAACCTGTTCCTTGGGCACTTATTATGGGCCAGGGACTGTAAAACAAACACGTCACGGAGCTCATACCCTAGCAGGGTCATGGCATTAATAAAAAAAGGTCTGGGCCACCTGGGTAGCTCAGTTGGTTAAGCATCCGATTCTTGATTTGGGCCCAGGTCATGATTTGACAGGTCATGACATCTCTTGGCAGCCTTGCTTAGGGTCCTCTGTCCGTCTTGCTCTCTGCCCCTCCCCCGAGTGTGCTTGCTGTCTCTCTCAAAATAAATAAATAAACTTTTTTTCTTTTAAAGGCCTTACAAACACATAATCATAAAAGCTAGGAAGCTACGAGAGTATAAGAGGTGACCCTCTGGTGTCCAGGCATTTGGCTTGCTCTAATGGGAGTTAATGCATTGCAGGAGGCCTGGATAAGTTCAGGTGCTTTAGACCATTAGGGACTTCCTCAGTTGGTTTGCTTACTAGTTATGTGAGCTCTCGGTCTAAGAATGCAGGGGCACTTATCTCAAATGCAATCTATCATGTGTTAAACCATATTTTGAATCTCTGTATTACACTGCACCAGTTGCAAGCAATTGCCCCTGTTTCTAACCTCAAGACAGTTTTCAAGCCAGTTTTATTGGGAGGGATCCTGTCTGTCGAGTCACTTATTTTTTAGACACTGATTCAAGATTAGTAAGAGAGACTTATAAGTTAGAGACTTTTTTTTTCCTCCTGTAGCCCAAACCAGTTAGTAAACTGGGGTAGGAGAGGAGATTCTTTTAACTGATATTTAATGCAAGTTAAACTGTATTTAAATCGCATTTATTTGATCTCATCAGAAATCTGGACGACATCAAGCAGAAGGAATTCCTCTCCTGAGATCAAAGCAGCCAATTTCTTCAAAACAAACCTTCGTACAATAATAGGAAAAAGAAGTGTGTACCCAGCTCACTTTTTATTATTCTGTATGAGACGATAACAACAAAATGCAGATACATTTGTGTCTTTAGAAGTTGAAGCAATTGTTCTGCAAGAGGTTTAGCTTTGCAAAGTCTTCAGGAGAACACCGCCACCAGAAGCTGTCAATAGCATGGTGCAGATGGTGTTAACTCTACGAAATGCCCTTACTTTTACGTGCATTATGTTATTTGACCCTCAAAACAACCCCATGGGATAGGTAGAGTATGTACTGGGATTATTGGCTTCAATACAAGGCACCTCGTTTTACCGAGGAGTGGTAAGCTTTTAGAAATATCAGACGATAAAGGCTCAACCTCTTGAAAGTGTCAAAGCTTTCAAAAATATGTGGTCAATATTAAAGAGATATTAAAGTAAATACATTTATAGGCATAGCAAACTACAACTGTACAACTTCAAAACATCATACTTAAAAACTCCCAAATAATTCTAACATGTCGTCTGCAAAAAAGCACAGATTAATTTATTGTAGTTTAAGGATTTTTGAATCGATCACACGCTGACAGGTATAGGTTTGCATTTCTGCGTTCTTATACCAAAGATTCTGGGGTGACGATAATGATGCCATTTTCACCTCCATAATGGAACATGGTGTTGTGCAGAGCTGGGCCCTCTTCTGTGCCACTCTTCACTCATTCTAAATGTTGGTCACCTTCGTGACCTTTCTACAAAGACACAAGGAACCCACACTAGAGAAGAGCAGTTAGGTGCCATTAGTTGATCAGTGGGTACATTCTCCAGTCACCTTAGCATATGTTTCTCATGGATTTCACGTGTAAAGCTATCACAAGAGAATGGGTTCTTACAAATGAATCAGGGGATAATATTTGATCTTTTACGAATTCATATTATGGCATGAATAAGAACATCTACGAGTTCATATCTATGTTGCTGTGTTTAGAACTGAAGCCTCTTTTTACATTATTATAGCATCTGATTTAGAAAAGTTAAGAGAAGGGTGCCTGGGTGGCTCAGTTGGTTGAGCGTCCGACTCTGATTTTGGCCCACGTCGTGATCTCATGGTCATGGGATTTAGCCCCGTGTCAGGCTCCAAGCTGAGCGTAGAGCCTGCCTGGGATTCTTGCTCTCCCTCTCTCTCTCTCTCTGCCCCTCTCCTGCATGCGCACATACACTCTTTCTCAAAATAAATAAATAAACTTAAAAGTTAAGAGAATTATGAAGCTTTTATTGAAATACACTTAGGTTCAGATTTTCCCAGTTTGATTCAATAGCTATGAAATTACCACGGGGCTTTCATTTAAGGTGATGGAAATTTCCTTTATGGATAATGAATAAATGTTCCAGTGACAAGTCTTTCAACTTATAATTTAACTTATTTGATCTAGAGATTATTAACATTCTGTTTTTCTAAGGATTGTACCTTTCCTGATAATAAGATCATTTCAGGGATGATTTTGCTAATGAGTGGCATGTAGAAAACTCCAGGTATCCCCTTGCCTAAATTAATAATTCCTCTGTATAATTTCATATCTGTATCTTCCCAGTGTGGGTCAATGAAAGATAGTGGTTTTGGGATACCTGTATTACACATCCAGCCAACAGCCTGAATGGACCTTAATTAAGTCTGGTCTTTCCCAAAGTGGGCAATTACAAACCGGGGAGAGTGCCAAGTTAGATCTCCTGCTATCTCAAATTTAATTTGACCATCTTATGACTTTTTCCTAGTTGGTTGTGAATCTCATTATGAACATAGGAATGTAACTTTTTGATTAGCTGTTGTTTCTGCTTGGCAAGAGATTGCTTCCATTATAACAAAAGAATGTGCTCAGATTGTGGGAATGTGTAGGTGTACCTCAATCAGAATAGATTTTATTTCAAGGACTTTTAAACAGTTAGGTTGAAATGCCCTGATAAGACTGTTTAGATCACCAAGGGTGGTAACCGAATATCAATAGTGTTGACATTTGCAGCTCTGAGATACAGAAACTCTGATTTCAAGGATTTTGTAGAAAGGGCATTAGTCAGTCTACAAATAGTATTGCTAAATAAATTCTGGCATACTGTGATATCTGGTATCCAAGTCCTTAAAGACATTTTACCAATTGTACTTTTAAAATGTTCTTACAAAATGTACTTACAAAGTGTACCAAAATACTTACTTGCAAAATGTCCTTGCTATTTATGGCTCTATTGCTACTAACGTTTGGGAAAAAATACTTTAAAAGTGGCTTGTATTGAAACCAATAATTACTTATCTTCATGATCAATTATCCTAAGACCTCTGCATGGTGATAGTGGCATCTCAGCGCCCTTATGCACTGAGAAGAGCTGCGGTAAGGAACGAAAAAGAAATCAATAGTCTGTAAGGTTTTATACCAAGATATTAATGGAAGGGATAGTATTAAAAGACAGATTTAATTTTCCTCAGTTTTCTCTTTTTTGTTCTTACTTTCTATAGTGAACATACATTATTTATTCACTGAAACATTTTTTAGAAATTCCTGCCAGCGGATTGAAATGATTGAAATCAAATATATTTGTCACATGAGAATTCCGCACATAGCGATGTCATGCCTTTGACATCCTCAGAAGACAATTGTGCATTGACTGATAACCTGGACATGACTTGATTTTTAAATCCTTTCGGGGGTGCAGCAGGGGGAGGGCTCATGGTGAAGGAAGCCCTGGGGAGCTGTTCATGCGGAGGCCGGGAGCGGTCAACTGCTTCTAGAGTCTCACAGAGTGCCCAGTGTCTCAGAGCTCGCCTGGCTTTCAGAATATAAACGGCCTAAATATGATTCTAGTTTCTTACAACTGTTCTTTAACCAAATATAAAATCTCTGAAGGGCCAATTCCAAATTTTAACACTCCCTTAGATCAGAGCTATCCAAAACGTGGTGTGCAGATGATGTCCGTGAGCTGTTTGTCACCTGTTTGAAATGAGAGAAGTACAGCCTTGACTGAGTAATCTTATTGCCGTGGACTCTAACAGTAAAACATTCGATTTTAATTTTATAGTATCTTTTTAAAAATTTATATTCTAACAATTGACCGTTGTATTTAACCAACATATCTCTTTGTAATGAATATGGAGGAAAAAATAACAGATTTGTAACCACCTTAAACCCCTTTTAAATAAAGGGATTAGAATAATTCCCACATAAAAGCTATAGGGAGGAAACCTTATCTTCAAAATGTAAGTCATGACACACGTACATTTCCGACATTTCACATGAATTGACTAAAACAATAGAAAAAAATGATGTAAAAATAGGGGTTCTGGAACTTAGAATACCCACACGTATGTTGATACTTCTGTGGCACTCTTGCCAAGATGCAAGAATAATGCTTGGCTTCCCTCCAATGATGTTTGCAGGGCCCAGAGGATACACAGAATCAAAAGGCTTTCCCCTGAAGATGTGGAATCCATGAGGGACATCCTGACGCGCAATATGTACCAAGTTCGACAAAGGGTGTGTATAAACTATCTGCCTTGTTCCCGGGCCTGTCCTTGGAACCGGTCATTGAAGAATCAGTTCTTATTCACATTATCTCCTCTGCAGCAGCCTTCTTGCTAAACGACTTCTTTCTGCTTAATTGCAAGAACAGAAAGTTAATTGTTACTTTTCTGCTAAAAAAAAAATTGGCACGTGTGGTGTAGAAAAGAATGCAAATCCAACTGCTGGCCCTAGGGGTCAGGCTGCCCTAGCCCTGCAGCCTGGTACTTTCCAGAAGCAACAGGCCTCCCTCTGCCTCCGGAGATGAACAAGCAGTGGATCTCACTCACCGCCCCACAGAGAAAGATGGCAGCGGGATGCCAATGGTAGTCAAGTTGTCCTGATCTGATTGACTGTAATAGAGCTTAGAAAATTGAGGTGGTTGTTGCAACTACAATGCTGAACGCCTACATCAAAGCAGATGTACTAGGCATATTATTTTTCAATTCTGGATAAAGGTATGGAGTCTATACTACCACTTGGGAACTGGTGCCAAGTGTATAGTCAGAACATTCCCGGGGGCGGTGGGTGAGTCCTTCTGAAATTTTGATTTAGTCAAATGACATTTAAGCCTGTGAACTCTACTTAGGAGTTGTTGTTGTTGTTTGTTTGTTTTTAATTTTTTTTTAAGTTTGACTATCCCAATTCTGACGATATGATTATAAGTAAAGTCATTGTGAAGCCCTTGGTTATAGATCATAGTCTTGATGGGACCAAAAAAGCCATCAGGTGAAAGCCCCTCGTTTTCAAGTAAAAGATGCTGAGGTTAGGAGAGTTGTTTATCTGACCTGTTGAAGGTCACACACACAAAATCCGAGTTAAGAACCTAGGTCTTCCAGCAGTCTACCCAGTGCTCTTTCCATGACTCCAGACTTATGCGATCCAGTTAAAGGGAATGTTTTCTGGCTTCCCGTTTTGGAAAGGTCAGTGATTAAGGGGAATGTGTCAGCAAAGACTCTGCACCTGCTGAGGGAATATAGGTCAGCATCAATCATAGCAAGCTTAGAGTAAATGCAAGAGCTTTCAAATCATTCCAAGCGAAACTGTTTCAGTAAGACTATCACATTCTGATAAATAGATAAATTGTTAAGAACTTCCTGGTTTGAAGAAGGTCGGCTAGCTTAGTGAGGGCCAGAGCTCGATGAAGGCTGACTAAAGCAGCCTTTTCCCCGTGTTTATGAAGGTTGAATTTAAGGAAAGGCCCAGAAATGGAGATGGAGATCCTGGGACTCAAACCCAGCTTAAAATGAGGCCAAATACCCATTCTGTCTTTATTCCCTTTTATGCAGGTTCCCAGATAGCCACCTTTCTTCTTTTATAAGGGTGCTTATTCAGTCTGTCTTCAGGCTTCTCCCTTCTAAGCCACGTAGCATCCTCCTTTCTTGTTGCCCCCAAATAAGCAGATAGGTCATGAAGGTTACATGGGGAGAACGTAAATAATAAATGAAAGGGAGTTTCAAGCTCCTGAGATGGCTTTTGCCTCCACTTTTGTTCCTTTGAGAGAGTGAAATTCACCAGTCCTTCCCCTTCCTGTCTCCTTTCTTCACCATCTTTTACGTAGGTCATGTGACTCCTCTTTTCCCTGTGGTCCTCTTGCCCTCTTGAAGGAAAAACTGCTCTAGAGATGCAATGCAGGACAGCTGTTTGTCTCCTTTGTTTCTAGTGGGCAATCTACGGTTTTGAAGATTGTCACAAAAGGCGACGGCTGTAGTCTCTAGCCTGGGTGATAGGTGAGTGGGCCTCATGTGGTGTGGGGCTGGTGGCTGGAACATTTCTCACAGTCCACACCTCAGAAGAGGCCATCTTGGGAGTCAGGAGTCATTTCAGAGCAAGGCTAGAATGAGTGCACAGTTTGACTCTAGGGGGATCCTGATATATAGTTGATCTGAAGCTGAGCTGGTCCTGCCGGGTCTATTGCACCTGGGAGGGCTCCAGCCACTCCTGTTTGAAGCCACTCCCCTCAGCAGATTGTCACTGCTGAGCAAGCTGAAGAACTAGCTTCTAGAGGTTTCCAGTGAGACAGCCCTCTGGGACACAGAAGCTCTCTGGAACACAGTGGGGATGGGAATTGAGAAAAGTTCTCTTTAAACCTACAAGGGAAGAGACTGACCTCAGCTCAGACTCTAAAGATAACTTAGAGATTGATGGGCAGTCCCCTGATGTGGCCTGAATGATCAGGTCACACGCAGAATTCCCACACACTTTCAAAGGAGGAAAACCATTTATGCAACTTGAGTTCCCTTCCGCAAATATTTAATGCACTTCTAGCACTTTGTCCCATAGAGCTCAAGTTTTAGAGGGAAATACGGTCTTTAAACAATCACCAGCTCCTTCATTAAAAGGCTGAAATGGAAGGAACAGAGGGAAGAAGCTTGCATATACATTATATGCATAGGACCAACTACGGTCCCTGCCGATAGGCAAGAATAAGCACATGGGTGATGTGATATGAGACAAAATAGAACAAAAAGTGTCCAAGTGTTCCTTAAAGTACAGCCCTCAAGTCAAGGTGTGGGAAATTCCTAACAGCAACGTATACATATACATATATATGTACAGATACACGTATATGAGTGTGTGTATACAAACATCCATGCACCCCGAATTCACTTTTGCATATTGATGAAAAATTGTAAGTCTGTCTTGGTGTTCTAGATGCCTAATTTTAAAATATGTTTTGATAGTGTCGTATGTCATTCTTTAATCTCTCCTTGGCAAATTGTCCCCAGCCCCTTCCTGTACCTGTCTCACTTCTCACCATAGTTTGAATAAAATACTAAATTCTCTTGAGGTAGAAAATAAATTCCCAGCTTGTCTCCAGCAAGTCCTCCTACCTCCCGTCACATATTTTTTATAGCTATGTATTGTTTCATGTGTTCCCTCTTCTTGGAGGAAACATCCACTCGTCTTTCAAGACACAGCTCAGTGCAATGCACCTTTCCCCCCCAAGACTGGATGAGTGTCCTTTGACTATACTCTGTAAGTCCCTGCAGACCCCAGAATCTTATCTCTTCCTGAGCACAAAAAAAGTATATGCTTGTCGGACTCCCCAAGTAAACCATGAGCCTTTTGAAGACCGTAATTCAAATGTATCCATTTTTTTAAAACCCTGCACCTACCATGGCACCTGGCACATAGAGCATCTGCTGTTTTGCTGTTGAATTGAAAATGCTTATTTCAGCATCCATTAACCCGGAGTGGTAATGCCTGTAGCCCTGACCCTGTTATCCTGTGGGACCCACTGACCCAGGGGAAACAGTATATTCACTGCTGCACTTTGACTGAAAAGAAAGGAGAGACAAAACTCCAGCAAAGCACTTTGTAAACATCTGAGGACCAAGGTTGGTCTGTGGTTCAAGACAGGTTTTCAGTGGCCTGATAACAGTAAAGAAAGATGAGGTGTCTGGGTGGCTGGGTCGGTTAAGCATCTGACTTTGGCTCAGGTCATGATCTCAAGGTTGGTGAGTTCGAGCCCTGCATCTGGTGAGCACAGGCCCACTTTGGGTGAGCTCATGCTCTGCTTTGGGGGAGCTCATGCCCTGCTTGGGGTGAGCTCGAGCCCCTCTTCAGTTGAACGTGGGCCCCGCTTAGGTTAAAAACAGGATCCCTGTTACGGGTGAGCCCTGCTTCTCTTCTCTCTCTCTCTCTCCCCCTCATAGAATTCTCTCTCTCGTCTCTCCTGCCTCCACTCTTGCCCTTCTCTTCTTCTAAAAAAAAAAAAAAACAATAAGGAAGAAATTTTTTATAAAGATAATTGATTCCATTTAAAGGACTGCTCTCTATCGGAGCTTATGGATTACGACCTTCCTACAGTTTGGTTAAAAGACCTCTTCCTTTCTGAACTGGTAATGGTGATAGTCATTGGCTGACATCTTGAATGCATCTTCCATCAGCAAAATTTAAGAATAGCAACCTTAATGAGATTTCCAATGGAGTTTTGACATTTTTCTGATCCCTTCGATCCAAACACGCAGACACCACCGTCCGTGCATAAAGAACACAACCTGCGAAAGAGGGTGGGTATGGAGCAGCCAAAGTCCATGAGCCCGTCGGGGTGGGACTCCTGCAAGGACACCAGAGGGGCAGTGCAGGTGGACAATGCTCCGCGAGCTGGGAAAGCACAGGCTCCAACCACAGTTCCGTCCTGATGGGGGTGGCCTTGCTCACAGACCTTTCTTCTCGGGGCCACAGCTGGCTCCTCTGTAATTGAGGCGGACGCTCAGGTGGCGTCTTCGGTGTCTTCTTTTTTGGGTCGTCTTATTCTGCGACATTTCCATGGCCTCCTAAAGCTGAAGGTTGTACGAAGATGTCCTTACGTATTTGACATGCCCTTCTCTCTGCAGACCTTGTCCTACAACAAATACAACCTCAAACCCCAAACGAGCGAGAAGCAGGCTAAAGAGATTCTGATCCGCCGCCAGAATACCTTAAGGGAGAGCATGAGGAAAGGCCACAGCCTGCCATGGGGAAAGCCGGTAAGTGGGGTCTGTAGAATCGCTCTGGGAGCTGGGCCAGCCCCTCACAGGGCCTCCTCCTCGGGTGACTGCCAGCGGCAGTGAGACAAAACCACCACCTTGTGGCCAGAGGAATACAAAACTAAGAGGCTGTCGGACACTAGACAACCTGCCTCTGGGGCCAGAGCCTCGGGGTCGGTTGGTCAGGTTGAGCCTCCAGGATGGGTCAGTGACTGGAACACGCTCACTGGACTGTGCGTCTAGACCAGATGCCATGGCGGCCAGGTACTGAGCAGTCCAGGGAAACCTCCCTGGACTGGGGCACCGGGCTCTAGGAAGCTTACTTCTCTCCCAGGAAGATATAGGGAAGAATATGTTCTTGCCAAGACGCGTGGGCCTCATCTTTCGTATCACGCACTGTGCATCTGAACTATTCTCTTTGAGGCCATATCCCACCAATCTCACTGGAACGTCTGGACGAAGGGTGGGTCTGGAGCAGATTCTAATTTCTACCCTAACCTCAGTGGCTCAAATGTAATAATAACGATGCCAGTAGTAATAATAGTAAACAACCACCTGAGGAGATGGGTTAAGTGACCTTGTTCAAAGATTTTAGTTTTGCGATTTGTTACTTTCAAAATAAAATCAAACTAAATAGTCGACCTGTGATCTTGTAGTGAAGCCTACCTCAGGTATGCATCTGACTGGGTCACATTAAAAGGTACCTGGGAAATTATTAACAATATCATGGCATAGCATTCATATCGTGTTTTCAAAGAATAAAAGTGCTCTCTAGTGTTTTACTTTGTCCTCAAACTATTCCTGTGAACAGCGTAGCACAGGCATTTTATCCCCTTTTTCTAGATAGTGAAACTCACACAAAAAGGCTAATTGGCTTATCCCCCTTAATTATTATTATCCCCGTTATCAGTGAATAGAACGCAGACCATCTCCTGATATTGGACTAAATACTTTTTTTTTTCCTGTAAAAATATATATGTCAACAATCCATAATTCTGGATTCCTTATTAAAAAACAAATGCTTGGGGGCCTGGGTGGCTCAGTCGCTTAAGCGTCTTTTCGGCTCCGGTCGTGATCTCGTGGTCTTGTGGGTTCGAGCTCCACATCGGGCTCTGCATTGATGGGGCAGAGCCTGCTTGGGATTCTGTCTCTCCCTCTCTCTCTCTTGCCCTAAAAAAATAAACATGTAAACTAAAAACTAAAAAAAAATTAAAAAACCAAATGCTTTTCTCAAAACAAAAAGTCCCTTTGAGGGGTTCATAATGGTCTCTTTGATCATGAGAGGGGAAGGAAACACATATTGAAGGCTATAGCATTCTACGTTGTTTAAACCAGAGTAGTAGGAGTACAGGAGAACCTGTGACCCAAATGAGGTGCCCGGTGTGAGTCTGCACCCGTTACTTTGTTTTCCACGTGACACTCGGGACCACAGGCCTAATTCTGCTTTTTCTTTCCACTTGCTGCCCACAGGCTGGTACCAAAAACATTCGTTACCTCTCCTTTCCCTATGGCCACCCTCAGCCGGCAGGAAGAGACACGAGGGTTGCTGAACTCACAGGTAATCTGCCTGCCTGGCTCTTCTTCCTCTTTTCCTGTAAAGGGTCAAAGGGCAGATATGTGGGGGCTTGTGGGCCAAAAGGCAAACCCGAGAATATCACGTAGGTACTTACATGACGAGAAAAAGACAAAAAAACGTTTTCATTAAATCTAATTCAGAACTTGATGTATGAACATTGAAATTTGAATTTCACGTAATTTTTCCCTGACATAATATATTCTTTTAATTTTTTTTCAGCCATTTAAAAATGTAGCAACTATTCTTAGCTCATAGACCATAGGAAAAGAGGCACAGGCTGGGTATAGCTTAGGGGTCATAATTTGCTGATGTAAAATGGGCACTTTTTTGAAATATTTGGGCTTCACCCAAGGTTTAAAAGTTAGCAAGATTCTCCAAAGTTGGTTAGATTTTACTAAAATGATTTCATAAATAAATAAATAAATAAAATTATTTACCAAATTTACTGATTAAATGTTTCCAATTTAATATCTAATTCTTAAGGAGAATTCTTAGATTTATTGAAACTGCCTTTTGTTCTAGTAAAAGCCATTATTATTTTTCAAATGTATATATAAAATAATTTTTCTATTAGCAAAAGGTGATATGTAATATATAATATGCCGTATTATCTATTTTAATTTTTTTCAAATTTTTAAGACAAAAACACATTGGAAATTCAAATAAACTAAACTCAGGATTTTGGAATTAAATCTTTGAAGAGTGACTATAATTATTCTTTAAAATGGAACTTTATTTACTTCTGATTTAAAAATGTAAAAATAAAATAAAATAAAACTAATAAAATAAAATAACTAAATCAGTAGATATAAAATAAAATAAAATAAAAACTAATATTAGATATAAAATAAAAACTAATCAGTAGATAAAAAGCATAAAATAAGAAAGTTAAAAGCACATGAAACCCCAATACCAAGATATAATTACTATAGAACATTTTGGTAAACATTCTTCTATAATTCTCTCTGCACTATCCTAATCCCTATCCCACCTGTATCTGATATAAGAAAGAAAAAAAAAAAAAAAA